TGGACACCTGGCTCCCCTCCCCTCTGGGACCTCAGCGCTTCCCCAGCTATCCTCCTTAGCTTGTTGAAGTTTGCCCTCCTGAAATCTACGGCTGCTGCCTTGCTGCAGGCCTTTGCCACCTTGTGCTGGATGGTGAATTCCAGCAGGCGATGATCACTATTGCCCAGGTGGTCAAGCACCCGCAGCCCCCTCACCAGGTCATCACCCGTGGCCAGCACTAGGTCCAACAAGGCGTCTCCCCGGTGGGGCTGTGCACCTCTTGGGTCAGATGGAGGTCCTGCACTCTGTCTAAGAACCTACGTGAGCGGTCAGACCTGGCTGACTGCTCTTCCCAGCAGATGTCCGGGAAGTTCAGGTCCCCCATGACTACCACATCCTTAGACTTCACTACCTCTGTGAGCTGACCTAAGAATTCCTGGTCAAGCTCTTCCCCCTGGTTGGGAGGTCTGTAGTAGACCCCCACCATTAAGTCTCTTTCCCCTCGACTGCCTTGTACTCTAACCCAAAGTGCTTCAGAGTGCCTGTCCTCTGACTCTTTGCTAATTGACGAGGATGTGTATTCCTCCTTTAATATAGAGTGCCACGCCCCCACCTTTCCTTTCTATCCTGTCCCTCCTGTACAGCCTGTAGCCCTTGACATTCACCGCCCAGTCAGGCGTCGAGTCCCACCACGTTTCAGTGATCCCCACTGTGTCCAGGCTGGTGTCAGCTAGCAGGAGGGTGAGTTTCTCCTGCTTGTTTCCTCCTGCTTGTTTCCCATGTTCTCTTCTGTAGATCAGATTTCAAGTTTTGGGGGCAAAGACTGTTTTAACCATACAGGTTTTAGAATGTGTTATGGTTCTAGATGACAATTGATAGATGTGAGTGTGCCCATAAGAGAGAACCGCATTCTGAAAATGTTTTAATAGATAAATCTAAACAGTAAATGGGGGGGCTGAGGGCAGGGGCAGGGGAGAGTAGCAAAACATTTAAGTTTTTTGTGCTCTTGGACCCATGTTACATTCGGATAATCATCTTTTTAATTCCTTGAACAGACCCAAATGAATATTGGTATATGTGAAGGAAAAAACATATTTGAATGTAATGCCTTTAAAAATATACTATTTAAAAGTTCTTATACAACAACACCCCAACCCTACTCTCCCTTTCTCCCTCATTACATGTTGTTTTCTTGTGAGGGGTTTGGGTAATTTTTTATTCAATTGATGTTAGCACTGTTTTAGCTGTTAAGTTCAACAGTTTGCATGTCACTCTCTCTTCCTGAAGTGTGGTGTTCACTGTACAAAAACATTTCTTCTGTTGCTTTTGCTTATCATAGATTATTGGTTTTAATCTTTCACAGAACTGGGAAATACTTGAAGGCTTGGCAAATGCATTCCAGATTGAAGAACTGCTGTATTCATCCCTCTCTTCCTTCTTTGGAGAACTGACTTCTTTAAACAAAGGTAAGGTAGGACATCGCATATTAATAGCAAAATTTTATACCTTTCAAAGTAAACTGAGCCATAACTTATTTCGTCTCCCATGGTGTCTTTAACCTTTTTTCCCGGCTTCGTACCAATTATGATGTAATTTTAAAACTGACTTGAAAATGACAGATTTTGATATCCTTGTTTCCAAAGCCTACATTACGTAGTGACTGTTTTTCATTAATAGAACAGTAATTAATTAATTAATTAATGGTGGAAAATGTTTTTGTTGAAATAGGCCATTTGCTTTAGTGAATCTTGTTGTTATGTTAATTGATAAATATACTATGTAGTTTAGAAATGCTTCAAACGTACCCCACCCACCCTGAAGAGTTTGTGTATGTAGGACTTGATTACAGGGTAACTTACTGCCCTGGGTTAACTATCATGAGAAATTCTATTTAGAAATTGGTCTTGCAGTTCCCAAAAAATTGTTTTTGAAATCATGCATCTATGTTGACAGTTTGATAAAGTAGGAACAATTAGTCTTCCCATTGAATTCAAAGAGCTTGTAGGTTAATATCGGAATGAACCATTGTGATTACCTAGTTAACATCCTGTGAAAATGTGACTGGAATTACCCATAATTCCTGATTTGAACTTCAACATATCTTTTTGTTAAGAGCAAAATAGAAACAATTAGTCCCTTTCCAGTGTTTTTTTTTCTCTTATACTTTAGACACAACTCGTGCAAATACTAGCAATGAAATACTTGAGAAATAGTACTTGTGCAGAATTAAGTAAGCACATAAGTCTTTACAGGAGTAATGACAGCACTTGTATTATTCCCTTCTCATTTTTTAAATACTATATTTATTTGCATATAAGACAGCCCCTGAATAATTAGATTCTATATATGGGAAATGTATAAATTTGTTATAATTTTGCAGGCATAGAATCTAATTATTGGAGGTTTGCTTTGAATTTGTCCTGTTTCCACTGTTACAGCAGGGAAAATAAATCATGTAGCTGCTTTGCCCTCTGCCTCCTCCCAACTTCTTCCCCCTGCAGTCCTTTCCTCCTTTCTTACTATCAGATCCTGCTCTCTGAGCACATGGAAGTGAGGAGCAAACTTGACCTTGAAATAAACATAGCTGTAGTCATTTGCATAGATTTAGTTAATCCAGAATTGATGCATTCTTCTTT